TGCAAAATACGGACCGACGTCAAGGGAACCAATCAGAATGTTTTCCTTTTTCATCGGGGAACAGGTTTGCCCATATAATAAGAGACAATATATGAAGGAAGAAATGTTGATTGAAAATATTTAATAAAAATCTCTGATAATATTATTAAATATTATAAACCCCATTGACAACCCGGGCAAACTAACATCCCCTTCTACGTAAGAAGCAACAAATTCCCAATATTTTTCCTTGGGCATGCGCAAAAATCCAACAATTTCGACACATTGAAAAACCACACCTGACTTTAGGCTTGTTCTTTTTCCTTTTCTTTCTTTTTTTTGCCTGTTCTTGCTACTCCCTTTTTGTCTTATTTTATTTGTAGGTTTTGTTGGCCTTTCAGTCGCCTTTGTTCACGTTGAAAAGTTTTCATAACCTAAACGTTGGGAAAAGAGAATTTTTTTGAGCAAAGAGTGTCAATGGCTAGTGAATGAGTCGACGTTTTTTTTGTGGGGGGGATTTTGGAGGAAAAGATCCAAGTTGTTTTGTGTAGTATCTCCTGGTCCCAATTTTAACGTTTCATGCTCGTTTTGAGGCCATGCGTGTTAATTGATTTAGACATTTTTCCAACTCTATCCGTTGATTGATCAATAGACATCCTCTTGGCGTGAAAAGTGATGACGTCACAAGGTGGGTACAAGTTCGTTGTCCCTCCTCTTGGCCGGTTATGGCCGTGTATGGGTTATGTCAATGGTGGTTAAAGAAAAAAATATTGAAGAACAAATATACTATCTCACGTAACGAAAGCAAAAGGCACTGAAAAATAGAACAAAACCCGGATATTGCAAACTACCATCCGATAAGGACCATTTGCTTAAAAAAAAAAAAAAAAATGTGGGCCCCCTCAGTCCCGCTCCCCTAAATCCGCCTCTCGGTTTGCCTTTACAATTTGGTGGTTAGCATTGGTGGAAAACCCCCACCGATATGACCACATCTCGTTAAATACGACCACGCTCGTTAATCACGGGACCCACTCTTCGTTAATACAACCACTTTCCTTTTTTGTCCCGAACTGAAGTTCTGCATTAGTCCATTTTTCTATTTTAAGAACCCCTTTAGTTTTTCACTAATTACCACCCCGTTATTGCGACCGAGATTTTTGCTGACACCCTTGGTAGGCCGGATTACGGTGGTTCCTATTTGTACTCAGTTTACTGCCTGGGTGGACAGCGGCATTCCTGCGCGGGGGTCCATTTACTATGTTGGTTCGCTGCATCAGCTAGGGCTTGAACCCAGACCACCGATCTGGAGTCCAACGCCACTATACCATTAATTTAGGCCAGCGAGTTTGGCTCCAGGAATTAGGGATAAAAAAAACCAAAAACAAAAGAAAAAAAAAAAAACAAAAAGAATAAAACAAAATTAATAATACGACACACCATGTAAACCTCAATGTGAGGATATAATATCAAAATAGGGCCTATGGTTAAAGTTTTTTTGAGCGAAATATTTAAAGTCTGACAAAAGAACTTTTACCCCCCAAGAGAGAAACTATTGTAAATTATAACTTACTAAATATTTATGACAAGATAAACAACGAATGGTACCCATTCACATTTTAAAACCGACCATTGACTTCTACCTTATTTTTGTAGTAGATTTGAAAACTTATCTTTATAAGACTGTCAAGCATTTTTTCGGCCTCTTTTAGGCTGAGAGAAAAAATGAAAGCATTTCACTATTATCGCGGACAAGCCATATTGAAAAACATAGTGAGGAGTAGTATACAAGCATTTTTGTGTACACCAGTCGACCTTCTCGGACATCACTGTTAAGGCGGATAACTCCTCCTAATGGTGGACAAATGAGATTTAGTCCACCTGCGACAAATTCCATTTTTCATCTGCTTTGAACTGCCAATACATGAAAGTTGCTGAAAATATCCCACACCAAATTTAGAGCGCAAAAAGATAACCCCAGGGTCAGGGGGCTTTCCCATATGAAAGGAGGTGGACAAATGCTCCCATCGTCTCTTTTAGGCGGTGGTAAATTACAGATTTTGGAACACTTAGGGTGTTTAGTCAGCGACCAATCCCCACTCGCTACCCATAGAGTCAATGGTCTCCTCAGTTCCCAGCGGGTTAGTCGTCTCCGCCAGGTTAGACTCCTCAATTTTTTTGGATTGATTTTAAAAAAAATTGATATTATTCATTGCCCCAGAGTCTAACCCTTGGCGACGAGGAGACCATTTAATTTCTGGGGTACTGAGATTGGTTCAGCAATATTTTTTATCCTTCAGTATTGTTTAGGGTTACACACCAAAGAAAGAAAAAATGCTGTCATACCTGTACTGTGTTGATGGGCCGGTCCTCACACCATACTGTCCTGTTTTTTTAGAATGCTATCTTTTAGGGGTCAAATAAAGCTTGAGCCACATCTCCTCTAGGGGTTTAATTCAAATTTTCCAATCTCGTTCCCAGAGTCCTCGTTACCCTTGTCCAGCAGTGGAATGGCCATTAGGACCTCTGGGATAGAGTGATCAACCTGACTTGCACAGTAAGACAGGAAGTCCAAGAATCTTGACGTCCGTTAGTTGAAACGTGGGTCAAAACACGTCCAATAATCTTGTCATGGCGGATCGCTTCCCCCCAGAGGTCCTTGTTGTCCGGTCCACCGCTGGACAAGGGTAACGAGGACTCTGGGAACGAGATTGAAATTTTCTGACAAGCATCTAAGCAATCTCTGCCCATATCTCTCTCTTCTTCCACTCTTTCACATCTCTCCCCCCCCCCCCCCCCCCCACCACCCCCACCACCCCGGAAAAATACACATACACAAGGGACCTATAAAAAAATATATTGTTTTTGCACTATAACATATTGTGGTCAAGTAAAGTAATTAAGAGGTAATACAGCATTCGACTACTTCGAGAATCGTGTTCCAGCGGGATATTGGAACACGATTAACGATGCCAGAGTGCAGACGTCGCTTTTCCGACGTAGGAGGGAGCGACAGTGACGACATGACGTAACATGCACGCTACACTTAGCTATGTAGCCTGGCTTAACAGGATACTCACGTCTATTTGAGAATTTTTTATGCGCGGTACAAGATTTCCTTTGAGGTGTTCCCCAAGATCTCTTCCTAAGCGTTGTTGGTCAACCGGCCACTGCTCGCAAACTTGCAGAAACCTCTTATAAAGTTTTTGGGAGCCAATGCTTCCTGGACGCCATATTGAATTGATGAGTAACTCCGCTGGCAGCAGGCTCATATAAAGCTTGTTGCTCGGCTATTTGCAGATAAAAGTTCAAGAAAGACGAGAAACATGTAGATTTGTGTTGTTTTTGCTGCTTCTTCGTCTTCTTATCGATGTAAACGTTTCTCCACCATGGAGTTTGTGGAGTATATTCAAATCGCCCGCGTATTGATCAGGTTTCTCTCCGGCGTATGAGGGCGTGCTTATCTGGAAGGCACATTATGTGTGACAGGTCATCACTTGATCTTTTCTTCTCGAACCGAGCACAGAGATGAGTTGATCGTAAGTTACTAACATTCGCGCCATAAATTTTATATGTGACCCTTTTGAATATTGTTAAAATTTCATAGCATTTTGCCTGATGCCATGATGTAAATTAGCCATTTGTGCCAGAACCGACCATCATTCAGCATGTTATTATATATGATGACGTGTTCCTGGGGGGTAGGGGGTGGATTCCAGCGTTACTAGTTAGTATTGTTTATTTATTTTTTATTCCCCGATGGATATCCAATAGGACATTGTCCCAATAATGTTGCTTGACACAAATTTCTTGAAAACTAGATGTACACAGACTGCAAATGGGAAGAATTGCAGCTCATTCAGAGAGTTGTCTAGGAAACCAGTCCATGAAAACAGGAATTGAATGCTCTTGGTTAAGAAACTAAGATCCAAAAGTTAATATTTTCTAGAAACAAAAAATATGCAGGAATTATACGCTCTAGACATGTACGGCATACATGACTAGGGCTAATGGGGCATATAATTCCTGCACCTTTTTTTGCTTCAGACATCTGTGACCATGAAGCCATACATTTGTATGAGCCCAAGTTTACTCCAGCTGGCACTAGTTATTATTTTGTACTTTTAACTGAATGTAAACATTTGTAGAAAGAACAACATTAGATTCCTCCACATCTAATATTTTCATGTCATTTAGCTTTTGCACTCGGCAGTGGAACATGTTGAGAAAAAGGCAAGGGGTCAACAAGGGACGCTCACCATTTGTTGTAAGAACTTTGATTTGGTGAAACTAAAGTTTAGCAACATTGAAGAGGCACTGAATGTGGCGTCATCCATTGAAGTACTGTCGACAATTGGTAAGACACACATGCAGCTACATGTAGCTTTCATTTTCCCTTGTCTATTTTGACCAATAAATACATAATTAATATTGCATTGCGATTTATTAATTAAATAAAAGTTAATTTCCTCTATAATTATACAAACTGTAGCTCCACTAGCTAACCACGAGGCATATATGTACATGTATACAAATACTTTATTTAAGTGTCCAGAGGATTTAGCACTGCTGTACTAAATTATTGTGGACACTATAAATTCATGAACAAACAAATATTGTAAATAGAACATAAACTTGACTACATGCAGTGTACATGAGTGTTTGGCAGAATTCAAAAGTTTATGTTAACCCAAGCCACAAGGGTAAAACTTACATATTATATATATAATAAGTACATGTACATTATGTACTTTCAAATTCTCCCAAACTCCCTTTAATGTTTGCATCAGGCTTACACATACAGTACCGTACATACACTGTATGTACACTACTGTATGTGAGCACAATGCGGCCATAATTTTTACTTTAGCCTACAAAAGTATTATGTGATGATGTCATTCTCTCAGACTCATGTTTAAGCTGATCTGTAATCATGGTTATACAAACCAATCAGAGTGTGTACACGTTATAAGAACAAAATCAAACAATCCACAAACAATAATTATTGTTAGTTAAAAATATTAACATTTTACACATACACTATACACTATACTGTACTTCAATGTCAATAACCTTTTATTTGATTACTTGTCCTCGTAACTCATACACAATTTTACATGTATTTTTTCTTTTTTTTCTTGAGAAAATACAAAATTTTTTTTTTGGAGGTATCCTTTCTTTTACCGACACCTAAGAGCCATCGATGAAGATGGTTGGGATCTATTTAGTACAGAAATGGAATTCTTCTAAACTCTGTGCTTTAAACTGCGAAGGCTGGAGAATTAGTCATGTGAACAGTAATTTATGAGTGTACATGTACTAAATATTAATAATAATTTGTATTATTAATTAGTATTTCTAGATTAATACTGTTTTAGTTTTAGAAACACATGAAAAATTAATAATGCTCATTAGTTATCGATCATCTCCATGGTCTCCTTCAATCCTTCCCGCTTGCTATGTTTTTTTTTCCGGCAGGCTAGAGTACGTAATTAAATTAACGTCTTGATGTCCAAGGTGTAATGGGGTTTTGACTGGCCGTTTGTGTTCCCTAGTAAAAAACACCTTAAGAGTATTTAACTCTTGATGTCAAGGTGTAGATGAGTTCAAAGGTTCCAAGATGGGTTTTTTGTCTGCCATTTTGTTTCCTAAGTACCTAAAGTGTTAACTACTTTGATGTCAAGGTCCAGATTGGTTTGGGCTGCCGTTTGGTATCTTCCCCAGAAGTTTTAGGGTTTTTTCACTTGCACCATGCCATTGATACTTGCAGTGTTTTCATCTGAATTTTGCAGCTTGATGTTCCTAAGCCTGATGATTATAATCAATATTAATTATTATTATAGAGAACAGTGGGCCATTTTTGGAACTTTTAATTTAACTAATAACATATCTACATGTAGAGTGCAAATTAACTGAATTCTGATTGGGTTTAAGACAGAAGGCATGTTTCCGTTTAATTTTTTTGGTTTGCCTAAGATCGCCCCGAGGACTTCCTGAAAAGTTAAAGTTGACCCCGAAGACTTCCGACAATTTTCCAATTTTGACCCTGAACCCTTCCGAAGCTGACCGCGGAAAATAAATTCCGAAAATTACCCGTTTTGAGGTCCCTCCAAAGAATTTTGCGAAAAACTGAATCGGAAGGTCAGGACAGATATTTCCGATAGTCATCCCCAGGATTGCCAAAGACCACCCCCTGATGTCTTTATGCAATACCTAATTTTGTCTTTTATGGATTAATAACAAGTTTTCAAGTAATTGCATGCGATTTTCCCTCATAAAATTAAGAATTAATATCACTTGAAATGTGTTTTTTCCAGAATTTGGCAAAAAATAGCCCTGCG